AATGAAATGTGGGTGAGTTTGATTGAGGTGATGCCAATGATTGTACAGGTCTTTTTAATTTTTTTCAGTTTGCAGATTGGTTTAGTCCCACTTCTCCCCTGCAGAAATTATTTGAACCACTTCAATGTGACCTCAAAACACTGGAGCATGTTTGGAAATTCCAGCTATTTCTCCAATTTTGAACATATGAATTTAACCCTAGATTGACACTAGTTTGATTCTGTTGAATGGTTGGGTTTGGTTTGATTTAATTTTCATTTTAGGCTAACACACACACACACACACACACACACACACACACACACACAGAATTTTTGTGGTATATAGACCTGGAGGCAGTTGATTACCCATAATGCACTGCAATCTGTAGCTCAATGCTAATTGTTAATTTTTGTTTTTAATGTAAATTTTAGTTTTTAATTTGCAATTGTTTTCTGTTATATTGAGAGAACACATTTTCCATTAACGTGCTTGTTATAGATATACTGTTATTTTACTATTAATGAGAACCCTGTCATTTTAATGGTTTAGGGCTTGTTCTCATTCATTACTAGTTTCGCTTGTGCATGTTTACTTGAATGTTCAATTTGTTTAGCTAATGTCTAACATTGTTTTATGTGCTAAGGGTTGTTAGTAATAGTATTTGTTATCATTATTGTAGGTTTTGTGTAGTACTATTTGTCTTCAGAGATGAACTAGCATCTGTTGCTTCAAGACCTGGCTCTCTTTTGGAGTACTGGACAGGTTTTGTCCAGATTGACTGTATGGGGGACAGCAGCCAGCCCGCCGGTTCCAGCGCCTACCTGCCTGCCTCTCCGTGCCAACCTTTACGGCTGTCTCTCAGCTCTGCTCCACTTCCTTTAAGCCAAGACTCCCAGCAGGTGTCCCCACAGAATGGAGTCGCTGCAGAGGTCCGGCTTGTCTCGTCTTCTCTGGCTGTTGTGAGAGACAGAGAGGTCACACATTTCCACGCACATTTGCGGAGCTCATTTTCCTCAGTCATGCAGAAAGAGTCACAGAAGCGTTTCTTTGCAGGATGTGTGACTTATTAACATTCATAAAATCGCATAGCTTGTCAGTTCTGTCGAAATTACTTTGTGAAAGATGAGAATCTCATTACCACGATTACATAAAGCATTGTTTTGCCATTGTTATTTCACGCCATGTGTGGTGAAAAAAATGGGAAATGCAATGTGTTGTGCTTGCAAAGTGTTAATGAGGCTGGCAAGCCCTTAGCGAAATGTGCAACCACTACACTGCATGAAACCGTCGAGAGACTGAACAATTACACAAACAGCACAGCTTTTGAGAAGAACAGGCATCTGTATATCATTATAAGATGGATTCATTATGAGTCTCATTACAAGTATCAGCTATAAACATTAGTGCAACAGTTTATATTCTGTTTCACTAATGGATGCCATGCAAAAAATGTGTCTAAGTTTTTAGGCTTTGCCTCCTCTCATTTACAATAAACAGCAGCGAAAGTATAATAGTAAGGGCCGTTCACACCGAGGACAATAACTGTAACTATAAAGATTTAATAATTCAAAATCTATGAGAATCCTGAACACGGAAGTCTTGTCCACCTCATAACGGAAAGATGCTTTACATTTCCGGTTTCTGGTGTTTCTAGTCAAATTAAAGCACAGCTTAACCCTTCTTACATTTTTATATTTAGTTATATTTACAAAGTTTCAGTTTAATTAATTCAGTCATTCTTTTTACCCCATTTTAATGGTTAACGCTAGAAGGGTTACAGCTGCGGCTACTGGGCATGCACACATCAGTATAGCGTCATTTTTGTTGCTTGTCCACTTGCCTTTTGAGGACTGACCACAGGTTCTCTATGGGATTGAGATCCAGGGAGTTGCCCGGCCACGTATACAAAATTTCAATGTAATCCTCTTCGAACCACTTCTTTATCACTCTTGCTTTGTGACATGGTGCTCCATCATGCTGGAAAATGCACGGATCATCACCAAATTGCTCATGGATCGTTGGAAGAAGTCGCTCTTGCAAGACATTTTTATACCATTCTTTATTCATGGCAGTGATTTTGGACAGAATTATAAGAGAGCCCACTCCCTTGGTTGAAAAGCAACCCCACAAATGGATGGTCTCAGGATGATTCACTGTTGGCACAACACAGCACTCATGGAAGCACAATAAACTAGAAACAATGTGAATGAACACCACAACAGCTTAAGCAGCAAACTTTGCAAAACACAAAATTTATGTCACTGCCAAAACTTTTGGTCATGACTGTACACTGTTTTTGCATTATTGTAAGGGGTAGGTGTAGACGTTAATAAAACACAATCTAATAGGTAGAACATTTAATTCAATGTTAGTTTCCAGCCATAGATGTATCCCTTCTAGCCACAACTCATTTTAACATGGATTTCTATGGAGACCGAAACACGAGAGCATCCAAACGAAAGTTAGAATCTGTCGTGGCAGTGCTCATCAGTTACTCAAGAATAAGCTGGATTGGAAGGTCACGCCCCAGGTATAACGATAATGTCACAGAGGAATGATATAGTTAAAATTTTCTATTTGATTTATTTTCTATATAAAGGATAAAAAACATTGACAAATCAGAACCCACTTGATTTTAACGAACATGCTAAACAGAACATTATCATGAATGTTATATAGTTATAGTTATATAGTTAAAATCAGTATTATTAAAGGCAACATTCATACAGAACTCACACTCGTAAATTTTCAGGACTCACAACCGCATTTTCGGTGAACCTCCACTGTGTGAACGGAACCGTACTGGACAACTGTGTCACATCACTGCCAAAGCCACTAGAAGGCAAGCCTGCAACCTTTAGCCAAAAAAGTGTAACGGCTAATGCTACCACTTCCGGTTTGGCAGTACGTGGGAAAAGAGACCAGAGGCCATTTTTTTTGATCGACAGCCTGTCAGCTAATCTTCAACATGTTTTACACTAAAGAATACTTTTGGATTGAACTATTTTTAGAGTTTACACCGAAAAAAAAAACGCTGTTTTATAAGAGAAGTCACTGACATTTTGTGACAAGTGAGATTCAGATTATGGCACTTCTCATACATTCCAATGGTATCCATAAACAGCGATTGAGTGTCACACAACTTTGACTGAAATTCAATGACGTCAAGGTTGTAATGTGACGTGGTTATTACGGCACACGTGATCCAAGTTGACCGTTATGCTTTCTCCAACAGTAAGTAATACAGACCCTCTCATCTCCCAATATTAAGACAATCTCTGTCACAGCATCAGTTCCGGTAACTTACAGAGACATAGATATGAGCTGCGTGTCATTTAAAGAGTTAAATATAGATGCAGTCACTGTTTTCCACCTGTTTGTTTTGAGGTCTGCACGAGATTCAAATGATCCAGTTCCAGTCACGTATTAAAGCTGATGTTGTTTAATTTGACGTATACGAAGATTTGACATAGATTTCATGCACTATTAAGCTCATGTCGTGTAATCTGTGATAAGGCACAGTGATATGGACGACGCCATTTTTATATTTACATTAGTATTAGAGGTGTTATTCACTGCTAGCGCTAAAATATAAACGGGTATTGATAGCAGTTACTTGTTCATACAGTAGCGACTTAAATCAGTTTTCATTAAGAAAATATACTTCTTTTTAGCTTCTGGGGAATAAAGTTGACATCAGTTTGCAGGTTTTACTGTAGCTCGTCAAGTTGGTCCCAAGCTCAGTCATTCAGTTGGTCAGACACTGGGAGACATGCAAGCTGACCAGCCTTCTAAACCATTTGAGCACCATCTTGGCCAGGGTAGGAGCTTCTAGACCAGCTTGAATCTGATTTAAGCTTTTTTTCAGCAGGGGCAAAGCTCAGATCCAGATCAGACATATCGTGAAAAGAAAATCTAATTTTGCCAGTTTCTCTTAAATCTCACCTTCTCTCTGGCTGTCCCTGACCATCCTGTGAACACCGTTTCCAGGGCAACATCCCTGGTGGCCAGCAGATGCAGAGAACAATGATTGTCCAAAGCAGAGGGACCTCTTCAGAATCTGTAATGTCAAGGTGCCAGATGTCCTATTTAACACTTTTTTTCCAATCAATTAATGCATTTTCAGATAGCTAGCTAGCTAGCTAGATAGATAGATAGGAAAAGTTTAAATCAGTGTTATAAGGTTGTCCTGCATTGTACAAATTCAGACCCTGCTGCAAGCAATCTCATCAGATTTATGTGCTTTTACAGAAATGTGTTTCTCGGCTGAGGAACAAAAGGCTTAGCAATGTAATTCAGTGAGAGCAGGAAAGATGTCTGGAGCCGAGCTCTGTGCTACATGCATTAAACATGACATGTAGGGCTATGTGTATGGTAGTAGCCGGGACTTAAAACGAAAATACTCTTCACAGGTGAAGACAGACTGTATTCTGTGCTGAGCCGCACATCACTGAGGAGATTTAAACTTTCATTTAATCTGTGACAGGAAGAATAGGGCTGCAAAACACTGCTTTATGGTAAGAAACACCAATATATGTGGGTGAATATAAAACAGAGCATACGATTTAAATATATATTTAAAATTAAATTACATTTTTTTATAATTATATTATAATCTAAATGGTTGATTTTTCTATTACAACTATAACTAAAAAAATCACTCTGAACCATATTAAGTAATTTGAGCCATACTCTTTTTAAAGGGTGACATTTAACTAGATGAACTAAATAGTTGAAATAATGCATTCTGCTCTCACATGATTTCCCATTTCCTTCAAATTCTTTATATTTCATGACTTCTATTACGTTATAAATATTAATCAACAATAGGCTGCTTAGAGAGACGCTGAAGATCAGAATGCATCATTCTAAGGGGAAAGGGGCTGGCACTTTAATCAAAGAGGTCTTAGCATATTCTAGTAGGTGCTGCGCATGGTGGCTGCAGCCAATCACGACTCTCGAGAGTGCTTATTGGTTGGGCTGTGGGGGATGTCTGGCTTCCATCGGTAGGGGGTTACTCTCTCCGCTCCATCCGTCCATTCAGCCCCCACAGTCAGCAAAACACTCGTCAGAGCGCAGGTCCACGGCAAACGAATCCTGCAGAGCTCCGTGTATGTGTGTTGATGTGTGTGTGTGTGTGTGTCAGTGTCAGGAGGAGAGAGAGAGCGCTACAGCGTGGACTAGCTGCTTCTGAACCACTGCAGCAGCATTAAATCTGGGACTGTCACAGGTACTGAAGGAGAGAGAGAAGACATTCAAAGAAGGACATTTATCTAGCAGCACAGTTATGGAGACTCATCTCTGCTGTCCACCAGCGGATCCAACTAGAAGCAAAGGACAGAAAAGTCAGCCGCCGTATTGACTTTAATCTTCTGGTGGAAGAAGGAGATTATATTCCCTGACAGTTTGCTCTCAGAAGGTGAAGATTAGGAGTGGATTTTTCCTTCTTTCTTTCCTTTTTCTTCTGTGTTTCAGTTAATTACTCTGCTTTTGGGGGCTCCTCACCCTCTCCACAAGTCGTCACCTCTCTCAGATCCTTCCTTTCCTTCCCAACATCTTCTCTGCATGCTTTTCCACTGCTCTGCAGGTGAACACACTCATGGTGGATGCCAAGGGAAGGAACATGAAATGTCTGACGTTCTTGTTGATGCTTCCAGAGTCAGTTAAGAGCAAGTCCAGTAAAAGCTCCAAAAAGGGGAGTCCCAGCAGCTCGTCCAAGCTGCCCCCTGTGTGCTATGAGATCATCACCTTGAAAACCAAGAAGAAGAAGAAGATGGCAGCGGAGATCTTCCCCACTAAGAAGCCGGCATCGGCCACCACGGTGCAGCAGTACCAGCAGCAGAACTTGAACAACAACAACACCATTCAATGCTGCAACTGGCAGGGTCTGTACTCCACGATCAGGGAGAGGTAGGTCAACTTCAGATGTGTTCAGAGAGAGAGATGAGAGTGGTACAGTTACAAGTCTGTGCAGAGAACATCTGCCGACAAACAGAGCATTTATGCTGTGATAGCTGATGCAGTGGAGTCCAAAAGTCTAAGAGCACATTTAAACCTGAAAATGAGAAATGTTAAGTTTTTGAAAATTGAATTCAAGAAATATTCTGCACTTTTTCTAATTGATTTCTAATCAAATGAGCACATTTGTGACAATGATCATGTTAACTTTCAATTCATGCTGGATAAATTTTTTAGCTCATGCTGCTGTGCTTATAAAATAATTTATTACCAATAATAAATGTATTAATTGTTTTAAAAATACTTTATTAATAATTTAAACTATTTATTAAACTGGAGCTTTTTCACTAGTGGATAAAGACTTTTGAAATTCACTAAATATTTGTAAGAAAATGTAAATACACAATCAAAGTTTTTTTTCTTCTCAAGATTTAGCAGGTTCAGGTTTGGGCACTGGATGTCATTTAACATCTCTGAGACTGTTTGAGGATGTTCTGAAAAGTTAAATTGTTCATTTGTGTAGTTGTCGTCTCTGTTCCGCCCTGTATACATTGTCCCAAATGAGGCAAAAGAAAAGAACAAGTTTTGTTTTATATGCATGGCTTTGCTCTCTGTCAAAGGGTAATATTTACTTTGTCGTCATGGGAAAGCCCCATGCTGGCCAAAACAAATGTGCGCTCTTGGACCTGGCTTTGTAGTCACTCTGGAACAGCATTCCTTGTTTACCTACTGCTCCTATGTGGCCTGGACCCCAATAATACATGAGGAAGATGCCATTGTGGACTCCCATTGACAGGGGCCAGGGATTTTCCTGAGAAAGACATGTTTAACCATTTTGTACGTGAAGTAGGGATGCATGATATTGGATTTTTGCCGATATCCGATATGCCGATAATTTTCAACTCATTTTGCCTGATAGCCGATGCCGATACCGATATATAATAATTTTTAATTTTGGTTAGTTTTTAACAAGAACTTATTTGTTAGAATTAAATCAAAAATAATAAAGTTATTTTATAATGACAGTACATTGAAGATTTGAAAATAACTATAAATAATCTATATATTAATCACTGCATTTTTTTATCAGAAATATGCAGTGGTAACCTTGACATTTTATTTTATGATTTAACATTTGTAAATGGTCTAAAGCAAAAGAGTTGTAAAAAGTCTGAAATTTTTTTAGAGCTCATAATTTGTTTTAAAAATATAACATATTACATATTAATGAATAAATCAGTATATATAAAATTATTTAATGTGTCATGTTTGTGATTTTTTTTTTGTTCATGTAAGCTATAGCTTCTGACCTTTAAATCAAAACATACTCATGATTTTATGACATCAATAACTGCTTTATCTAATCAGAAACAGTCTAAATATTATTTGTGTATTTTGCTTTCATTTTATTAGAAGTAGGCCAACAGCGCCCCCTACGGAATTAAAACTCCTTACTGAGCTGCCGCTGCACGTGCTATTACTGTTTACTCTATCATACACCGACCGAACATGTCATTCTGTACGTGCATTTTCAGTTTAAATGCAGCTATCCAAAACAGTGAATCCAATCACCATTCAGGCAAAACTTTGCTTCAAGAATGAACCACAATGCTGACGTGATCTAATCGCACTCTTGAAATGATCTAATTGCTAGCACACCCTGAGCACATGTGAGTTAATGTATTCCTCTTATCGGCAAGACATATATGCATAATTTTTCATATCTGGCCGATGACGATATTTACATTTAAAGCCATTATCGGCCGATTCCGATATTGGTCCGACAATATCGTGCATCCGTAGCGTGAAGTACTGCTAAAGTACAGAATTCTGTATCCAGGTATAGATTTTCTGTTTCCAAATAGAATAAGAGTTGATCATTTCTCTTTATTTCAAGTTATATGATAATTTCTTGTCTACAGAAACAGAGGATTCACCTCTTCTATACAATCAAGTAGTTTTTTTAGTCGAAAATAATTTTCCTCAATCTTCTCTACAGAAATGCTGTGATGTTCAATAATGAACTGATGGCTGACATTCACTTTGTTGTCGGTCAGTCCGGAGGAACTGAGATGCTCCCGGGACACAAGGTAGGACCTCTTGATCTGCACTATGCAGCAGTACCAGAGAACAGCTTTAGGATTTTCATAAGCGATGTGCTGCACTGCTGTTGCTAATGACAGCTAAATTCTTTCTCTTGTTTTCAGTCTAGCCGGCCATGTGCCTTTCTGAGACACTTCTCAATTATTGATGAAAATCAGGCAGAAGGCAGTGGGGAGATGTTTGTCTTTTGACAGAGTCTTTTACTTATTTTCATGCTGGGTTTGTGCTGTATTAAATAATCAGAGTTTGTGGTCAAAGTTCTTCAACTGTACAAAAGCATTTATGAATATGTGAATAAAGTTCTGATGTTTGTACACTCAGTGGATGTATCTCCCAATGGGTTTTCTCAATAAACTGCTTAATTGGTCAAATGAAACATCATCAGATTTTGACCACATAAAACACATTAGAATTTTTGAAACACGTCTTATTTTATTTTTTTTTCAAATCTAAATATTGTAATATTGGTTACATATTTATTCATCTATCTGGTTTTCAAATTGAGGCAACAAAGGTTTCTAGGGTTTCAATGGAAAATTTAAGAGAAAAATTTAATATTCTCCACATAATAAGTTTGCAAACCCCTGATCTAACTGATCTCCACTAAGTAAAAACCATTAGAGGTCTTCCACTGTGACCTCTTCGAAACTAGCAGCTTTCCAATAGCTTTTGTTCCAAAATTTTCATGGGGACTGGCATTATTACATATGACATTATTATTTTTTTTACCTCAGGCCAATTTTAACTGCACCAAAACCGCATTTAAACCAGTTCTTGTTTCACTCTCAGACTTTATTTAAAAAGACAGGGCTAATCTGGTGCCTACAATTCAGGCATGACTCATCTTTTATCCATTTAAGGGGGCAGAATTGAAAGCTGTGTTCGGCTGATATGTGATGCTTTATAAAGCACACTTAGGCAAGGGCATTGTATTGCTTTGCTGCATGGCCACAGTCAATATTGCAATGGGCCATGAAGAGTTATTACATAGCACCTTTTTTATGATGTTCATTTGGCTGGCGTTCAGATATGCATTATCATTTTTATTTGAGAAGGTTTTGTTTGCTTCTAGGAAAGGCTTCCTTGCATAGGAGCGCTTTGTAAAATTACTCTTGCCATTTATTTGATGTTCCTCTTAGTTACAATATATTTGTTATGGGCTTTTCACATCAGGGATCCTGAAGGATCACCACCTTTACTTAAAAGGCCAAAATTAAGTTTGCTAAATGGAAAAGATGCATGTGTGTGAGTAATGCTAAAATGAATTGTAAATATTCCCTTCTGCTCCTGTTATATAATGCATCTGCAATGCTGTGTTGGCCTCAGATTTCATCATTAGCTACATGCGCCCATTAACATCAGCAAGATAACTTTTAGCTCCAGCAGCCACTTTCACACCATTGTGAAACACTCTTTTCTTCGGAGGGAAAAGCAAATGCCATTCACATGAATGGCACTCACATGTCTTGTAAAGCATTGGTCTTTGTGGGTGAAATTGTGTGTGTTCTTCACGCTCAAATGACTCCAGGGGAATGGGATCAAGCTGAAATTTAAAACAGCCAAGCTTTACCTTTACAATGCAATTGACTCAGAAGAAAGAAAACCTGAAGGGCAACTTCTGATGAATTAAAGATCGCTAGCTGTGCCTTTCTGACTCAGGTTTATAAGAAACAATGTGTCATTGTATGGGTTGTATGTAATTTAGAGGTGATCACATGAAACCATCACCTGCCACCTGGAAAGTTCTTTTGATGTGTGTGAGGGGAATAATCAGTTTTTTTTTTGTTTTTTTTTAAAGCGAGGAGAGACATAAAACCACTTTAGTGTCAGGTCATAAAAAATAGGTCACTTTGGAAAAGTACAGACTTAACAATAGCTGAACGCTTTGAAACCTTTTCCATCTACACCACACGAGTCCTTCAATATACAGCTGATTTTATAGGTTTGCACTGATTTTTGTTTGAAACTTAGTGCGGACGTGTAAGTTATTTAAAATTAAGTGATGGATACTGTCGATCCTTATGATAATTTATAACACAAGTCATGTAAAATTAATTTATACTTCTTATTTTTCTCATTAGTATGTCCTTGCTGTGGGTAGCTCAGTTTTCCATGCCATGTTTTATGGAGAGTTGGCAGAGGACAAGGATGAGATCCGTATCCCTGATGTAGAACCTCCAGCCTTTCTGGCTATGCTAAAGTAAGTCTCCTTATGTAATTGTACCTTGTCTGTCAGGTCTGTGCTGGCTGACCCTTTTCTCATCTGCCTGGTTAAACCATTATTATCTTTCTGTACAGATTATTTAGTTATTATTGTTTTCAATTAAGCACAGGAGTGAAGAAAATTGTTCTCTCTGATCTAAGTACCCCTCTTTGGACTTCTTCCAGAGGGTTAATCGAATTCACCGACATGTAATGTCTTTACAGCCAACAGTTCAAGACCATTAAAAGCGATATGGCCTTTGGAAGAAGTCTTTTCTAATTGAAATTGACTGTGCAATTAGCTTCATTTAAATACACTGAAGATATCAAATAGTTTCATTTGACTTATTAAATGTCATTTTGAATGGAGTACTCGATTCAGATAATTTAAGTAAAAAAAAAACTCCCCAGCATGACTTTATGGGGCAAATTCACTAAAATGTTGCACCACTTACAGAACAAAAACCTGCTTCTTATTTCTTAATCACACACAATTCAGTTTAATCAGGTACCACCCAGGTGAAAAATAAATATATTTAAATTGTGCTTTTTCAGACATACTTACTATATTTAAATTATACTATACTAAGTGCATATTAAATGTATTATTTTGAAACAACTTTAAGTATATTAAGTGTATTTCAAGATATGTTTAAGTTGGATTTTATTTTTACATGAATGACTGAAAGCAAGCACAAATTAGCCAGCTGGAATGGACACATTGCTAATGTTTTTCTTCCAAGATTGACCAAATCACCCTACATTAGGCCTGATTCAAAAATCTCTAACAGAGGTGATACAACATGAAAATATACTTACTATTCCTTTGCTTGTCTCTGCACTCAGATTTCAGTTTGTTTTACCTAGCTTATTACAATTAATGTATCATGTAATGAACAACAGCCTAATCAACCAAAGTAGCATAACCTTTTAAGTAAAACTGAACAACATATTAAACAACATATTTTAAATATCGCAATGCTTAATAATAGTTGACAAACGTTTGTACATTGTAAATGTTAAAAATGTTTTTCAAAATATTGTACTTTTCCAAATATTAAAATTATAAATACATAAATATTTAAAATATAACCATGTGTAGGCCTACTGCAATATAAAGTACATTAAAAACCCACTAAAAGTGTAATCATTTTGTTATGTTCTTACACAAAGTAGACATAAAATATACTTTAAGTAAGGGTAACATAAGTATGTTTTCTGTAAATACACTAAAAAGTCACTAAAAGTATGCTTGTGTTTAGTATATCCCTTAAAAGTGTAACTAAAAATATATTTATTAACATAGTATTTCTACTATACTTTTTAGAAATATACTAATAGTGTGCTTGTGTTTAGCATATTCCTTAAAAGTGTAACTAAAAATATATTTATTGCCAAAGTATTTCTAGTATACTTTTTTATAAATACATTAAAAGTATGCTTCTGTTTAGCATATTTTTTAGAAGTATAACTAAGCATATATTTAATACAAAAGTACTTCTAGTATACTTTTTAGAAATATATTAAAATGCAATTCAATATATTTTTATTGCACTTCAAATAAGCATGTTGGGAATACAAATGTATTATAAACATACTACTTGAATTTCAAGTATATTTTTAATACATTTAATACTACGTCTTTTTCACCTGGGCAAATGTACAGCATGTTTGGCTGTTAACTGATTTGCATAATTTATTTTAGTCAATCAGATGCTAAACCTGCACAAAGCACGTGTCAATAAATGGTATCACTGGGCACAATTCATTCTTAGTTAACTTGCCCTTATCTCTGCTGGAAAAAAGCAAGTTGATTTAAGTTGGTCTTCTAGCTTGGTCAAATTGGCTATCTGCTATCCTAGCTGGTCTTGAAAAAAAAGAGGTTTAGGTTAGGTTTAATGTAGGTAGTACATTAAGTTCAAACATGAAAGAGCACTAACCTTTTTGTGCCAATCATTGGACATTTAGTTTCTGAACTGCCGGCGTGAACTACAACAACCATCATAGTAAAATGTTGCCAGATTTCACATTTATCTATTTCAGATAAAGCCAAACATGCTTTTAAAGCCACTCACTGGAGTCAAAAAGTGTCCCAAAGTGAGTTGGTGCTGTCTCCAGAATTACTGTGGCTCATTCCCAAAGTCTTTTATATGTATCAGGGGGAACTCTGAACACTAATGGCACTAGATGCTTAAATATTGAATAGAACTCTAGCTTAAACAAGAAGAAAATAAATAATGAAGTGAGCTTAGCTTGTCCGCCTCTCAGAGGGCTTAGGACCATGACAGAAGATCTGATAGATCTTAACTCATGCTTTACCCATCTCTCTTGAGAGTCCTTCTGTGTTCTCCACTCTCTCTCCTCTTGCGCTGGCTCATCTCTCACTCCTTCCATCTTGAGAGAGATTTTTGTTCTCTCTCCCTCTGAGTCTTTCATCCCTCCTCCCCCACTCTCCTAAAGAAGTGTAAATTTATACATGTTGTTTGTGTTTACAGAACACGTCTATTGAACATCGTGTCCATTATGATGCTTCTACTGTATATATGTTATGATTTGTAGTACAGGATGCGTTACAGGACATAGTATTAGATTTGCAGTAGATCTGCGCAGTGCATCATAGTATGATCAATTCAGCCTGTTCTGAAGGACACAATCAAAGCCAAGTTCATTCCTGTTCCACAAAGGTATGGCTATTGTCAGAATAGTGCTTTTTGTTATAAGAGGTGTTGCAAAAGGTAGTATTTCCATTGACCAAAACACATTGTGTTTCATGCTGGTAGCACATCATAAAATAGTAGCTTCTAGCTGGGCCAGTAATAGCAGGCTACAATGCAACCTAAAGGACTACATCTATTTTGAATGACTATTGCTGATGATGTATGACACAGCTAACCTTGTTTTTTTTCTGTTGCTCAGGTACATTTACTGTGATGAAATTGACTTGAGTGCCGACACAGTACTGGCAACATTATACGCAGCCAAAAAGTACATAGTCCCGCACCTGGCTCGGGCTTGTGTCAACTTCTTGGAAACAAGTTTGAGTGCAAAGAATGCGTGTATTCTTCTATCTCAGAGCTGTCTGTTTGAAGAGCCAGACCTAACGCAACGCTGCTGGGAAGTCATTGATGCTCAGGCTGAGCTGGCACTTAAATCTGAGGGCTTTTGTGACATTGACGCTCAGACCTTGGAGAGCATTCTCAGACGGGAGACTCTGAACGCTAAGGAGATTGTAGTGTTTGAAGCGGCACTAAGCTGGGCGGAGGCCGAATGCCAGCGGAGGGAGATGAACACAACTATCGACAACAAACGCAAGGTATTGGGCCAAGCCGTCTACCTGATCCGTATACCAACCATAGGTCTTGATGATTTCGCAAATGGTGCAGCGCAATCAGGAGTGTTAACGCTAAACGAGACCAATGACATTTTCTTATGGTACACAGCGGCTAAGAAACCCGAGCTGCAGTTTGCCTGCCAACCTCGTAAGGGATTGACGCCACAGAAGTGCCATCGCTTTCAGTCATGCGCCTACCGCAGCAACCAGTGGCGTTATCGCGGACGCTGTGACAGCATTCAGTTTGCTGTAGATAAGCGAGTGTTTATTGCGGGTTTCGGGCTTTACGGTTCAAGCTGTGGATCTGCTGAGTACACTGCCAAGATCGAGCTCAAACGGCAAGGAGTCGTTCTGGGAACCAATCTTAGCAAGTACTTTTCAGATGGATCCAGCAACACCTTCCCAGTTTGTTTCGAGTATCCGGTTCAGATCGAGCCTGACACTTTCTATACAGCCAGCGTGGTTCTGGACGGAAATGAACTGAGTTATTTCGGACAAGAGGGTATGACGGAAGTTCAGTGTGGGAAGGTGACCTTCCAGTTTCAGTGCTCTTCGGACAGTACCAATGGCACAGGAGTGCAAGGCGGCCAAATTCCAGAGCTCATTTTCTATGCCTAAGTTTCTCTTGGGAAAACAAAAACTGCCCACCTTACCGGTGTGAAATAGCTTTACATTGCGTACAATATACTGTATGTTTTTGTATTACATGGCAGAATTCAACTTCTCCAATGCTGCCAGCTTGAGCAAACCGAGACATAACAGGCATTACATGGGCCTTGTTTTGAGCTCTTAGTTTTTCGGCGGCTGTCAAAGCGTGAACAGTTACACTGCATTTCCTCCTTGTCTTAAAAGTGAATTAAATATTTTATTTTGTGCTCTGCATTAAGCTGCACCTGTTTACAAAGGAAAATCTCATTTCAATGGGATGTAAGTTGTTGTCTAAGCTCCTAGTTGGGTGCCACAGCCTGGCTGTTGCTCTTTATCTTCCTTGATTTAAAAGAGTTTTGATTCATTTAATTTGAGAGGGGACATTGTGCATTGTGCAGTATATATTTAAATGTATGAACTGAATTATAATTATAATTATATAAATATATAAATATTATCACTCTATGGCTATATCTACTGTTTACAACGACTATACGCCATGTTAGTGAATGCTTGCACATGTATATTGTAGCAATAGTGAACAAAATATCCAAACTCATGATAACAGACTAACTTCAGTATTTTTCCCACATCACGATTCAAGGCAATCAAGATACCTAACACCAAAGTTACTGTCACCATAACACATTTTTGATTAAATGTCATTGTCAAGCACAGATTATCTTAGACACAGATTGTGTAGAATAATCACATAATTTAGATTTAGAAACATACATCAATTTTTTGCATCAATCATAATGAGAAATATAAACTATATGTTTTTAGCATAAGCATATGTAGCGTTTGCACTGGAATAAACAATTTTCATTCAGAGTCTTAGACCCTGCAGTAACCTTAGTCAAGACAGACGTCATATTTAATGTTTTGTAAATGAAAACAATGCTGTGATGGACAAATGTATGGGTTATACGTTTTTTAAATAAATGACAAAAAAATGGTTTAATTAGACATGACATTGCTGTACATCAATCCTTAACAGTTTTCATTTTTGGAAGATTAATATGACCCAACTGAGGTCAGTGGAATCAAATGTACAGTGCTTCATGTTGTATTATATTCAGCAGAATGAACATCCTAAATATTTCTTACAATAAAATGTCTCTGTTCTCTAATGGATTCTGTGAAACATGACTTAACACAGTTCACCACCAATATGTTTTAAGTCTCTTTCATGTGACTTCAAAGTGCACTAAGAAACTAACTGAACAAACACACACTACTGTTAATTCAGCTGAAATAACAGGTTACATATTCACAGGCACCATCATTACACAATGTGACGTTTTGGGATATTGTGTCATCATTTCCACCTCTATAAGTGTTGTGCTCATGCCTAATTAGCAGCATAATTAGCCGTCACCCAACAAACCCGTCTTCACGCTACTAAATGGGATGTTGTCAACTAACATTATATCATGTATTTGTAAAGACAAGATAGTTCAAGCATTTTATTTGGATTGCATTGGGCTGTAATTACCAGCATTGATGTTTTCCCCCTCTTATTTTCATTAAGGTGTCAAAAGCAGCAAGGAAGCAGAATGCTAATTCTATTCCCTGCTGAACTTTTAGTGATAGACATAATAGCGATGAGCAGAAAACAAATAATTGCTCTTTAAACTGATCAAGAAGTGTCAGTGAAATGTGACTGGTCATAATCTAATATTACAGCTTTCATTTTTTTTTCTCCTTCTAATTTTATACAGTGAGTATGACAGCAGAATATTTGGTCTGTGAATCAAGTCAGCACTGTACTGAAGTCGAAACATTAAGGTTATACAGATCACCAACAAGGTGCACTTTAAAGGGGTCATATGATGTTGCTAAAAAGAACATTATTTTGTGTATTTGGTTTAATGAAATGTGTTCATGCGGTTTAAGGTTACAAAAACACATTATTTTCCACATACTGTACATTATTGTTTCTCCTCTATGCCCCGCCTTTCTGAAACGCGGCGATTTTTACAAAGCTCATCGGTCTGAAAAGCGAGGTGTGCTCTGATTGGCCAGCTATCCAGTGCGTTGTGATTGGCCGAATACCTCAAGCGTGTGACGGAAATGTTACGCCCCTACCATACTGTGATGCCCCTGTCAGGCCGGAGTGATGA